TTCTAGTTAATTCATGCAATAGTTACATAGTCTGTTTATATATATAGATACACACAAAAAACTCTTACTGGACTATAGAGCAGGTTCATCCTGATACTAGGTATCATGCAAAACACATAGGTAGTCATGAACACCGTCATCTACCAAGGTACACCACATCTTCTATATCTAGCTATGCATCCAGGGCAATATAGCCTTTCTAACTATCAATCCTAAGAATTCAAGCTCATACCATGGTACATATATATATATATATATATATATATATATATATATAAATCTGTATCCTATCCAAATGCAGTAAAGTAAACTATCCACCATAGTCTTTCAATGGCATGTCATCCAACTGATTCGTGGCCTGACATGAAGGGATGAGACTAAACTTATTAGCTAGCCTATCCATAATATGCACCCATATCCTGACAATGGTGCATTAATCCAAAACCATATCTTGACAATGATTCCCACACAATCTAATAAAATGATGCAAGTAAATATATACATCAAATGATCTAGAAATACACATGATAATGATCATACAGATATTCATTGCATTTAATTAAGCAGTATACAAACAATAATTCTAAGTAGCATGTAATTAACTTACTAAACAAGTAATTAACTTACATCTCAATTAAATTGCATAACCTCTCCTAGTCCACATTAATCCAGCATGGTTAATACCTTAATACCTTAATTATCATTTGTATGCACATAATGATTATTACCATGGACAACACAAGCAATAATATAAATCTCCACAAAGATGATTAAAATCAACTAATTATTCTTTTTCAATTGATACAACAATTAACACATTTAAGTTTATCCATGAAACAAATTTTAATTCGTTTAATAATCCATACTGTCCAAATCCTTCCTATACAAGTATAATTTATACATTCTGGGAAGTTATTTAATCCCATAAAGACTATGTAATCCATTAAAAGTGATTACAGTAGCATCTGGTAACCCAAAACCTCAAAATCCAACATTGAATCCAACTAAGCAGGTTCCTTTACCAATCGAGGCGGCTCAATTGCAATTGAGTTGGCTCGGTTGCTGCTGCGGGTCGTCTTCTTCGTTTTCTAGCCTGTGCAACTCCTCCAAACTCCATTGTCATGGGTCCTAAGCTTCAGTTCTAAGTCCCAAATATCCCCAATAATTTATTTATGACAATTATACATGTTTACAACAAGATTAATCAACAAATCATGCATCAAATCTAAAGAATATACAATTCAAGAACATATACATATAATCACATATAGCCTCTATTTTAATCCGATTAAATCATGTATACTTGTTTATTTATCTTGCTTAATCAACCTAAAGCTGTCCTAGACATGCATTGAATCCTAGGTCAAAGAAGAGGAGTAAAACAAAGAACTTGCCTTTACGGATTTCAGATTGAAACCCAACTCCTTTCTTCTCCGGCCAACTCCTCAACGCCGGCAGCCTTCGAGTTGCCATCATGTGCCGTCGCTGATCTGCTACGCACTCACGAGTAGCCTCCTCCCTTTTCTCCTAAGGTTTGGCCTTGATCCTCCTCACACGGCCCCTCTTTCTCCTTTGTTCCTCTCTATTTTCCTCTCTCTGTAACTCTCTGCCCCCTCTATATAAATCACGTAATACCGCCCCTCTACAGACTATATATATACTCATATATATATATAAAGGCTACACAATACTACTCAATCTTAATCCTAGTTATACTATAATTCTGCCTTATAGAATAAGAAAAGGAAAAATGCTATAATAATTATAGAAATAATCATATTATCCGTAATAATAATAATATATTCATATATATACATATATATATATATATATATATATATATATGACTCCTCCATGTAATGTTAATAATACTAATTAAAATAATATGCATAATAATAATAATATAAATATTAATATTATGTATATACCATATATATATAATAATAATAATATAAATATTAATATTATGTATATACCATATATATATATATACACAACAATATATTCATATATATATATATATATATATATATATATATATAGAACTAAATCATCCATGTATTATTAATAATAAAAATTAATAATAATACATACCATAAAGAATACTAATATACGTATATACATATATATATATATATATATATATATATATACAGACCCATCCATTAATAATAATAATAATAAACTATTAATAATATCCATATATATATACACTTCTACACACACACACACACACACATAAACCAATGCCCATGGGTTATTATCCATACTCTTTTAGGCTTACTATCCAAATAGTCCATGTGACCCATTTGGTTGGTCCATTACTATTATCCAAATCCATTCCTTTTAAATAAAATAAAATAAAAACAGACAATTAAACATTTAACTAACACATAATTACGAAAAAATACACAATCAAGTCACATAGATCACATCACATAAATACACACAAACAAAACCCACGATACAAATCAAACAATTAAATTATTTAAGCACATAACATATAAACACATAGCCACATAAGTACATCGTCACATAATTAAATAAAATGCAATAAAATAAATAATGAAATCCCATTTATATCATTTTGAAAGTTAGGGGTATTACATTCTTCTTCCATAACAAAAGGAATTCTATTTTTAGAATTCACAAAATTCTGAATTATTTTCTTTTAAATTCATTTTTGTTTTCATGTGGACTTAGAATGGACTCCACTGAACTCCAATGCATCAAACAATATTTATGGTTCCTATACTTAAGAAACACAATAAATTACTACACATAGCTGTATTTAACAACAACTCAATTTACTCAACTCGCAACAAATCTAAAAATTATTACACGTTGTATCTCCAAGGTTAGCCTAAAACAACCACCGTATATATAAAATCCAATATGAATAGCACAACAAGAGTTAGAGGCGATGTGAATCACCAACCCTTCGTTGGGCCATTTCTGGTGGTTATAAGTGTAGGGTACTACTGTAAATTTAAAATTAAAAATAAAAATTAAACAATATCCTTAATTCTCAAATGACTTTAAAAAATAGTCTTCACCAAACTACTGTAGAACAAAATAATAGGATTCCTACACGGAATAATTGTAGAACGAAACCATCAGATATGAAAGGATCTTGGGAGGCAAGCAATGCGACTCCAATCCTAATTTTTTCACCAACTTGTATAAATAGAGGCTTAGGTATAAAATAAAGACATACAATTGAATCTCATTTTCTTTAATTTATTATTTTCATTGTGCGTGGGGATTATTCTTTGACTTTTCTGATTGACTCTATGATAATTGTATGTTGAAAGCTTTCCCCTTTTTATTTAATATATAATATAATTATTAATTTGCCACCACAACGACACCAAACAGGGCTTTTTTGACTTTGTCAAAAAAAGGTTACAATTTATTACTCCATAATACACTGAACACAAATCAAGCTCGGTTCAAAGAATTTATTACCCCATACACTGAACAAATTAAATAAAGTTGAAGACTGCTTTCCAAATTTCAATTCATTATTTAAAAAATTACCATTTCCACATGTAAGATTGCGTTTTTCAACATTGCAACCACTTACTTTTTATAAAATAATAAATACAAATAGACCCTTAGAAGACTTGGAGGAAAAAATATGAACAAAGATTAAAGTTAACCACTTACTTTTTATAAAATATTAAATACAAATAGACTCTAGTAAACTTTGGAGGAAAAAAAATGAACAAAGATTAAAGTTAACTTTTGTTAATTAGGCGCACTAATAGATAAGACATAAGAAAATTTGGCCTTTTAAGTTTTTTAAAAAATAATTCTCAAAATTTAAAAAATATAAAACTATATTTAAATAATTTTAAAAGACAATTATCATAAAATAAATCTTTTTTCAACCGAGTATTCATAAAACAGTTTTAAACAACAGTAAACTAAACATATTTCTGAACAATTTTTTGTTTTCACTTCTTAGAGGACAGAAAAATAAACTATACGGAGTCTTAGGACCATATCTATATTATATTATATCAGCACATGGTATTATTTTTGTTTAAGATGACATGCAATGGATATAATATATTATTATATACCATATCTATATTAATATTATATATTTTATAATAAATGTATAAATGATGCATATGCATGCACTTAAATATATAATTAGTGAGAGTATTTTTGTCTTAATATATCTTATTTTGTACTTATGTACCGGGTATTATTAAGATTTGTGATTTTAAATTGAATATTATATTTTATTATCTGTATTGGATATTTTTAATATTTGTGAAATAATTGAATTGCATAAAATATTTAAGTTTTTTTTTGTACTAATGAAAAAAATTAAAATAAAAACAAAAAATTTAAAAAATGATATGTAAATATGTAACAAATATGTATTATTAAATATTGTTATTATTTTTTACTTTTAAAATTGTGACAAAAACAAGTGTTAATAAACGTTATTTTTACTTTTTATTATCACTTGAGGAAACAAAATTATATTTCTGCTTTCGTGAGGTTACAAAAATAGAAAATGAAAATATTACTAAACCATATGTAATACTAATTAATAATAATAATAATAACAAGCCAAATTCTTCTAGCCTAGCTGGTAAGATGTCTCCTGTTGACTCTTGGAGCGCACGAGTTCGAAACTTGGCATCAACTAACCCCCTAACATTTACCCTTTAAAAAAAAAAAATAATAATGGGTGCAGCTTGTGTCACAAGCCCAATGCTAAGCACTTGGTTTAGTTGCAAAGTTCTAGTGTTGGGTTCCCGCCCCATCATCCCCTCACCTCTGACCATTGCCATCATCCCCTCCAACCATTGCCAAGTGAATAATAATAATAATAATGGAATGTAAACTACATTCTCATAACTCCAATCATTAATTTTTTTTATGTTTGTTTTTTACCTCAACTAATGAAGGAAAAAAGAAAAGAAAAAAACAAATAAATTATTTGCTGATAGTAGTCGGGATGAGAATTAATTAATTTTTTATTTTTTATTTTCTTTATCAGTTGTGACTGTTGTTTAAGGTGTTGCAACTTGCAAGCAAAAAACGTCGCTATTAGATTCCAGTTCTGTGGAATCACAATCTGAAATCATCACCCACTCGCATCTCTCTCTCTCTCTCTTTCTCTCTCCTTGTCTGTCGCAATATACAGAGAGAAACGTTCCGGGAAAATCGTCCGAAAAAATGTCTGAACCAGGGGGAGAAAATCAGACTTCCACTCCAAATTCAAAGGAGCTGACGCCTCCACAATCGATGACGGAGAGAGGGTTACTGATGGACCTCGATCTCGATCTTGACGGTTCCTGGCCGTTCGATCAGATCTTAGTCTCCTCCAATCCTACGTCGCCGTTCCTTCTCACGTCCTCCGAACAACCTTGCTCTCCTCTGTGGGGCTTTAACGAAGATAATCTCGCTTTAAACTCCACGTCGTTGCTCGCCGGAGGTCTTTGTTCGGCGGACTATCCTTGTAAGATTCGTCTCAGTGTTAGCTGTGATTCACTAGTTTTCATTCAGTTTATTCCAAGACTCAGTTGAACAAAATGAAAAAAAAGTTAAATTATACTGTTTTTTTTTTATCTGATCTTGTTGAATTTGCTTCCTCTGAATTCAAATATATGAAAATGTTTTTGTAATTACTATAATATTTTGAGAACAGATTGCTAATTATCACTAATTGAGCCTTCTGCTTACTTGTTTTAGCTCATAATTTTTCGTTATATTAAGTGGGCAAGGTTCATCTATATCTGTTTCTGTTTCTCAGGCTCCGTTTGGATGCCGAGAAATCAGGGGAAAGGAAAATAAAACATATTTTGATAGTTTGGTCCCTGAAAATATACAAAAAGAGATTTTGAAATGATTATTTATTCAAGCTTTTCCATTGCTTGGGAACCAAAAAGACAGTTGAAGCATGACTTCAAATTTGTTTTCCTCTTCTTTTACCTCCAGTTTTCTAGGCTACCAAGCTGACTGGCGTCTACTATCTTACACAGTGATGTAGACGCTGTCCTATTTTACGTCTTGGCTTTGGACTTCAATTTCTGACTCTGATCACCTTCACAACGGGGTTTTACTCTATTATGTACTTCCCTCCAGATATTTTTATGATTCAAAAGCTGGGAGAATTTAAATTTTGCTAATCCTTTGGACTGAAGCTGTCATTGCTGTTAATAGCATATGTGTCTCTTGAAGCTTGTGTGATTTTTCTATGGTAGATGGTGATGTTGTTTACTGACAGCAGTTCAGATATTCATTTCTTTGCTTTTTTGGTTTGGGAATTTTGAAGTAAATACAGATAATCCTGATTCAGTAGCTGCTAGCCCATCCAGAAATGATGATAAAAGAAGGCTTCCTCCACCAATTCTGGGTTTGTCGCTGAGAGATTATCCGGATAGCTCTTATGTGATAAAAGAGAGGATGACGCAGGCACTCAGACTCTTCAAAGAATCGACTAAACAACATGTTCTAGCACAGGTTTGGGCACCTGTGAGGAATGGGAATCGGTATGTACTCACAACGTCAGGTCAACCCTTTGTTCTTGATGCACACAGTAATGGGCTTCATCGATATAGAATGGCATCTCTGATGTATAAGTTTTCTGTGGGTGAGGAGAGTGATGAAATGCTTGGGGTTCCTGGCCGTGTTTTCAAGCATAAGTTGCCGGAATGGACTCCAAATGTGCAGTATTACTCCAGCAAAGAGTATCCACGACTCACTCATGCTCTGAACTACAATGTTTGTGGATCCTTGGCTTTGCCTGTGTTTGAACCTTTGGGCCAGTCTTGTGTTGGTGTGGTTGAGCTTATACTGACTTCACCAAGGATTAAGTACGCGCCTGAGGTTGATAAAGTCTGCAAAGCACTTGAGGTTTGTGCTGCTCACCCCCTTCCAGAAATACATACTCAATCTCATGTTCTTGATTGATCATTGAGTGATGAACATCATTTGCCATCTATTTCTGATAATTGAAATAATTTGTTTGCACTTAACAAAAGAAAATTAAAAAAAGGGGAAAAATAAATCATTTTTTTGCGAACAATTGGTGAATACAAGTTGTTTGGAACAACTTTATTGCCATCTTATAACTTGATCACAAATTTTGACTTTTAAAACTTGATTAATAGGCAGGGATTCCAAATTCAAAATTCTTGTGTCCTTTTTAGGCATTATAAGATTTGACATAGAAATGTTTTGATGGTCTGACTGTAGGAAAATTATATGTTGGTTATGAATCTAGATGAAAAGGAGGAATATAATTTTGACTTTACAAAAGTTAATTATTAAGCAGGGATTCCTAATCCCGAATTTTGTGTCCTTTCCGGGCATTAAAATGTTTGACACAGGAATGTCTTTGATGGTATTATTGTAGGAAAACTTTATGTTGGTTGGAAACTAGAAGAAAAAGAGGAATAGAAGTCTGATTTTCCTTGACAATTGGACAAGGATGCAATTGCACACCGCACACATTAGATGCAACAAATGAGGTTCCATGTACTATTATTTTAGGTGAATAGGTGATGACAAAACTAGGGTTTCTGCTGCCATATCCAGCAAGATCTCTCAAAGTCCACATCTATCCAAATACAGCTTTTGTATGTCCATTGAAGACCCCTTTGGGAGAAGACCTAATGAGAAGTTCATGCCAGTTTAGAACCATATTGGTCTGACTTATCTTTTGTGTTGCATCCTTTTTTCTTTTTCTTTCTTTCTTTCTTTTATTTATTTAGTTATTTATTTTGGAAAACATTTTACACCCTATACTTCTTTGGCACAATGCTTCCATGTGGCACAAAGTATTTCTTTTTATTTTCCTGTGTGGGTTGGGGTGGGGGGCCTGACACGTAGTATTTCAGTTGTAACATTTCTTTTTAATTTCACCTTTATGTTTTCTCGCTTCTTCTATTGAAATATTATTAATTGCCACTAATTTTGTTGTTGTGGTAGATTTGGACAAGTCCTTTTTGATCGAGTCAAAGAAAACACATGTTGGGTTCTTGACTACCTTCCTAATCACTTGACCAGTTGGGTTGTTCTCATTATTTTACTAAACTGGATTTTCAGACGTTTTTTTCTATGGTTTATCGAATTTTGAAACTAGTCTTTTTTGAATTCCAATAGACGTAGAATGTCCTTCCCATATCTTGATATGCACACTCAAATGAAGCCTAATGTGATGTCTCACATTGCCTATAACTGTGTATGTGTTTTGAAAACCGTGAGCACCGAGGAGAGTGTGAAAAGCGGACGGTACCTATACAAGTTGGGGCAGGTCGTGACAAATGGTATTAGAGCCAATCCCCAGTTGGAAATGGGGGGAGCATGCACAAGCCCATGAGGGTCAGGTGTTGGGTCTCAAGAGGGGGTGATTGTGACGTTCCACATTGCTTGGGGGGAGAGGTTTGATGACAGTTATATGTGTAGACATCTCCCAACTGTGAAGACACGTTTTGAGAAAAACCGTGAGCACGGAGAGGAAAGTGTGCAAAGCAGACATTATCTACACGGGTAGAGGCAGGCGGGTCGTGACAAATATTGTCCTAAAGTTAGCTTCCAAAATATGTTTTTCAAACATGTTTTTATTATTTTAAAGGTTTTTCATGATTTCTAAAACAAGTTAAATTAATGACGGTTGAGTGGTGTATGTGTTTTTCATATTTTCGTGGCCCAACCTAGAGGACATAAAAAATTAATGCTAAAACATGTTCACTAGTTTTAAAAAATGCCATTTCCCGAAAACACTGCTTTCTTTAGATAACTAATTTAAAACCACCTGTTTTCTTAAACCTTGTTCTCCCAAACTACGCACTTCCAAAACAACCTTCAAACATAACCACTTCATTTTAAAATCCACTTTATTTTTCCAGAACTACTTTTCTGCATTCAGTCTTCTAAACAACTAACAAATCTTCATGCTTCCTAGTTGTTCCAAGCATGCAGCCTAGTCTAATTACAAGAGCAAACAAAAAGAAAGCACCATTAGGTACTCCAAATTGAATTCCCTTTTCTTCAAACAATTTTTTTTATACTTTTGTACTTTTGGTTCTCTTGGTATCACCTGAAAGAGTTCTATTCCATTTGTTAAGCTGAATAATGTATGGGAGATCCATGGGATAAACACATTGTTTGATTCCAAGTTTCCCAACTTTTGCAAGCATTCCTCATCCTTCAATTATTATTATTATTTTTTCTTTTAAAGAACAAAAGTTGAAAAACTATTTTGATATTTATGGATGCTTTGGGTGCCTAATGAATTTCCCATGTCTGATTGAGCTCACAGATTAATGGTCATGGTTATGGAGTAGTCACGCAGGCACTACTTCAAATGGGCTTTTCTATATATTCTAAGATCTTTTATTAGAATGGTTCTTCACAAAACATGTTTTTCATTTCAAATTATATATAAAGGTTATATAATACGCATCTTGACGTCTCCTGATTCCCGCAAAAGCCCTAATCATTTTAACTCAAATACTCGGATGCTTTAGCTTCACTTTTACTTTTACTTCTGTTTTCTTTTTTTTTTTCTTTCTTTATTATAATTATTCTGAAATGTAGAAACCTCCTAGGTAAAATTTGAGGTGCTGTACACAGTTGCAATGTAGAAAGGGATGATAAAAAAATTTAAATAATTGTAACAGGTTCTGTGTGCTCAAAGTTCATGCATTTCGTTATAGTCAATAAGGCTTCCATAGGTATGACTTTCATACTCTTTGGTCAATATCTTTGACCTGAACCTTTCAAAATTTCTCAGTTATGTAATTTCAGTTTCCTTCCAGGCAGTAAATTTGAAAAGTTCAGAGATATTGGATCATCCAAACACAGAGGTAAGCAGCAACTGTAATATGAATTTCAAACTTAGGGTTTTTTTCTTCTTCTTTTCTTCCTTCCTTCTCTTTTTTCTTCTTTTTTTTCTTGAAAGTAACTTGGCTATGCTTGTGAATCAGTTCCGCAATGAAGGTCGCCAGAATGCACTGGCTGAAATCTTGGAGATATTGACGGTGGTGTGTGAAAGTTGCAATTTACCTCTGGCTCAGACTTGGGTTCCTTGCATGCATCGCAGCATTCTAGCAGATGGCGGCGGCTTGAAGAAGAGCTGCAGTAGCATTGACGAAAGCTGCATGGGACAAGTCTGCATGTCCACGACTGATGTAGCATTCTACGTAATAGATCCTCACATGTGGGGTTTCAGGGAGGCCTGTGCTGAGCATCACTTACAAAAGGGGCAAGGGGTTGCTGGGAGGGCATTTGCATCTCAAAACTCATGCTTTTGTGAAAACATTACCCAGTTTTGCAAAACTGAGTACCCCTTAGTTCATTATGCGCTCATGTTTGGGTTAACTAGTTCTTTTGCAATCTGCTTACAGAGCACTCACACTGGAACTGACGATTACGTTCTAGAATTCTTTCTTCCACCTAATATTACAGACAGTAGAGACCAACAGGTCTTGTTGGAGTCACTATTGGTGACTATGAAGCTGCATTTCCGGAGTCTTAAGGTTGCTTCTGGAAAAGAACTCGAAGAGGAGGGGAGATCTGTTGAAATTATTAAAGCATCTATGGATGGAATACTTGATTTCGAACTTGTACCTGACCAAATATTGCAATGTACAGCATTTCTACCTGGGTCTGATATCTTACCAAATGCAAAAGATATGTTGCATCTTGATTCATCGCAACAGCAGTTAATGGTGGAAGCTGATGCAATTAGTGATGGAGAGAATGTGGGTGGTCGAGGTGCTGTATCGTTTTCAGACAATAAAAAGTCGAGCAAGAAATCAGAGAGAAAACGTGGAAAGGCTGAGAAATCAATCAGTTTAGAGGTTCTGCAACAATATTTTGCTGGGAGTCTTAAAGATGCTGCTAAGAGTCTTGGAGGTATGCTTGCACACTTAAACTTTGTTGCTTGTTGCTTTTTCATTTTACTTTCAACACATAGGTTCTCGTATGATGGATAGTTATTACTTGCCCAAAAAAGATAAAGAAAAAAACAGAGAAGAAGATGGATTATTTTGTAGCTGTTACAATTGACGTGGAATGTTCTTACAAAGATTCTTGCTTTTACAGTTTGCCCTACTACAATGAAACGCATCTGTAGACAGCATGGGATCTCTCGGTGGCCATCTCGTAAGATCAATAAGGTTAACCGTTCCCTTTCTAAGCTGAAGCGCGTAATTGAATCTGTGCAAGGTGCTGAAGGAGCATTCACTTTAACTTCTCTAGCTAAAAGTGCACTTCCTATTTCTGTTGGTTCCCTTTCTTTGCCTGACAATTTGAATAAAAATCAACAGAATTCACCAGGCTCTAAACCATCTGAATTTGTGGCACAAAAGAATGATCTCCCCACCTGTACGACACCAGGAAATGGACAGGATGGGATAAATAACCAGATGCTTGGAGGCAGGGTATTGGATAATGAGAAATTCATTCATGAGCAAACTAGATTTTTTAAGCCGGGTGAATTCTCAAACCAGTCCAAAACAGGGAGTGGCTCAAGAGGTGAGAGCACTGGGAACCCTACTTCCGATGATGGTTCATGCCAAGGTAGCCCCTGTTGTGGAATTGATTTCTCCCCGCAAAATGATCAATGCATAAAACTAGGGAGTTCGTTGGAATTGGCTTGTCAACCAACAGAACTAAATCTATCTGCTGCATTCTCAATCCCTGATGCTCTTGTCACGACGCTACCCCAAGAATCATTTGGAGGAATGTTGATAGAGGATTCAGGAAGCTCACATGATCTACGAAATCTCTGTCCAGCAGCAGATGCTCTTTTGGACGAAAGGGTCCCAGAATATAGGTGGACAAATCCACCATGTTCCGATGTGGTTCCAAAAGAATCCATGGCTACTTGTGCTGACAAAATGACGCAATTTTCAGGTAGGCCAGAACTGAAGACCATGACCATAAAAGCAACATATAGAGAAGACATGATTAGGTTTCGACTCTCTCTCGAATCTGGTATTGTCAAATTGAAGGAAGAAGTTGCACGGAGGCTGAAGTTGGAGATGGGTACTTTCGACATCAAGTATCTTGATGATGATCATGAATGGGTTTTAATTGCATGTGACGCTGACTTGCAGGAGTGCGTGGATGTTTCAAGATCATCAGGAAAAAATATAATCAGACTGCTGGTTCAGGACATAATGGTTAATCTTGGGAGCTCCTGTGAGAGTTCGGGGTAATTGTAGCTTTAGTCTGTATATATGGTAAAGCTCATAGCTTGATTCTTGTAGTGCTAGGCTCTTTTTGTAAGAAAATTTCCCACTATATTTGTTATTTCAGGCCTCTAGAGAGAGATACCACCTAAGAAAGGCTTTACCCAAAAAGTTACATAGGAGACATAGGCTTTGTTTGTTTCGATGTAAAATATTATTTTTATTTTTATTTTTTACTTTTTTATTATTATTTTTTTTCACGTAAAATATTTTTTTATTTTTACTTTATTGATATTTGGTAAAGATCTGCGTCGAAGTTGAGGTCGAGTCTATCGGGCGGGGCATGTAAAATAATTTGCCGAAAATTGATAGTTAAGTTGTATTTGTTAAATTTTAATATTTTTTTTTTTGTAAATATTGTACGACAACTAAACATCAAAAAATAAAAAAATATTTTTTGAAAAATATTTTTTGTCCAAACAAACAGAGCCTTAATGTCATTAAATTGGTATTTGACAGAAATGTTTCTTCTGTCTAATTCTCATGAAAATGCTGAGTTCAAGGTTTGTAAAATATAATATGGCACTGGAGGAGGAGGAGGTTTAATACTCGAGACTTTTTTTCATTACGGTTAACGAATGTAGGCAATCTGCATGGCATGGATATGGGGCAATCTGCATGGCATGGATATGGTTGTCTCTACTATTATTCTATAGAGATTGCATGGCATGGATATGGGGCAATCTGCATGGCATGGATATGGTTGTCTCTACTCCTATTATTCTATAGAATCTAAAAGTTAGATACATTCGACTATATTTATGTAAGCAAAGGATGAGATTATTCCCCATTAAGGTGAAGAATATAATATGGCACTGGAGGAGGAAGTGGTTTAATACTTCGACTTTTCATTACGATTAACTAATGTAGGCAATCTGCATGGCATGGATGCAGTTCATCTTTACTTCTGTTGTTGTTCTGTAGAACCTTGATACAGAATCTAAAAGTCAAATACATACATTCGACTATATTTATGTAAGCAAAGGATGAGATTATCCTCCACTCACATAAAAAATAATAATAATAATGTTAGATCTGTTGGACTTTAGAATTATTTTTTATTTTCTTTTTATATTATTATTATTATTATTTTAATTAAGGAAATAAATAAGTTGAACTGGCTAATAGATGGCCTGGACTTAATTTTGCCACATCACTTAAGTTAAAGAAGACAAAATTGAGTAAGTAATTTTTACCGAATACTCCGTACATATTAGTGTATACAAGTTTTTTTTTTATACAAAGCCTTTTATACGGTACATCATATATCACTCTGTATTTCGTTCTTAGGACCAAAATCTCTCCTCTTTCTCTAGTTTTACAAAGGCTGGACGAAAATCTTTTTTGTCCATCAAAGCAACTCAAGGCGGATCAAATGCAGAATCTTTGATTTTGAGGATTTTGTTCCCAATCTTGAAGCTAGATCAAACCCACAAGGTATGATTTTGTACCAAAAATTGGTCTTGTGAGTGGTGTTAAGGTTTCGTTTAGAAAGAGAAAGTGTAGCAACTTTCCCAATTAATTGACACCCCAAAACAATCAACATACAAATTGATACACGTATCTTTTAAAAAAAATTTAACATTTATAACTATACAATGCAAAAAAAGGAAGAACTGATTTGAATTGAATAATTCAAGAAAGTATATCAAGTGCACATCCCAACGTGTTAATGTAAATAATCCACATGTCCAAGAGTTCCACATCCCAACTCTATCATAACATGCCTACCCAATGATATGTATACAAAATCCCATATTTTACTTTATTTCATTATATGAATTCATACAAGTATTTAGAGTCGATCGCAAATATTATACCCAACTTTTATTAGGGAAAAATAATAGACAAACATTTAATAGAGTTCAAAAATTAAAACTAAAAAGGATAAACTACACTGACCTCCCTTGAGGTTTGGCCTAATTGCAAATAAACTTGAGGTTTGTATTTTTTTGCAATGTCACCCCTAAAGTTTGAACCATTTGTTGACACTCATTTTGATAAATTTTGTATTAATGACATGGCAACCAATTTAGGGATAATGTGACATGTGGGCAAGGTAATAGTTGACGTAGTTTAAAACTAGTTGAAGCTGCATGCAAAAGTGGAGGAGATAAAAGCATTTGAATTACTGATGGATAGGGATTATAGTGCTAGTAGTTATCTTTTAGTTGGTTTTAATTAGATGCTAATGGTTATCTATAAGATTAGTTTATTTTGAATTTATAGTTAGTTGTGATAGAGTTGTAATGCAAGTAAAGTGCTTGTGTGTAGGAGTTTGTTTTACGTAGTTTTCTATAAATAGTGCTAAAGGCATGCTTTGTAAGAGGTCTAGCACCCTCAGAATATTTTAATATTATTGTTGCCTTCTCAAGCTCCTTCCCCATATAGCATCCTTATTATTTCTATCTCTCACACTCCCTATTTCAGTCTCGTTCTATCTTTCTCTATATATATATCCCCCTCTCTCTCTATCTCTTCTCCCTATCACTTTTTATATCTATCTTTTCTCCCCTTTCTATTATCAAATTGTTACTATAATTATTCATTGTTAAAGTCCTTTCAATTAAGGCAATACTGAACTCACAAGAGGAGTATATTTGTTCTCTTTCTCCTCGAATCGCCTAATAATCAATATTCTCAAAGTGATTGCAGTTGAAAACTCACACTTGAACCACATTGTTGGTTCTGGCATGCCTGCAACAGATCAAAATTAGAATCGGCTTTAGCCAGCCGATATTAGCGTCAACATTCTTGGCACGCCCAGTGGGACCCCACTAGGTGAGTAATTTATAGTAAAAATATGCAATCAGCTTCTCAACCGACTTACGAATATTCTGATCAATCATATTAAATGATGTACCAGTATTCTAATCAGCCATATGGTTGGCTAGACAATTATCAGCAACCAGTTACTGATTATCGGCAAACGCCAATAGTCGATTATTGGCATACGCCAATGGTCTATTATCGGTAAGTTTCAACAGTCGATTATTGACAAGTTCCAACAGTCGATTATTGACAAGTTCCAGCAGCAGATTATCGGCAAGTGGTAAACCAGTCACCAGTAGCCGATTATCGGTAGTTGATAAATCAGCATGTCACCCCCTATCACAATCTCTGGTACACGGGGGGCAGCCGACGACCAATTAGTCATATGGTTGGATTGAAAATTATCAACGACCAGTAGTCGATTATCAACAAGTGGCAAACCAATCACCAGCAGCCGATTTAAATCAACAAATGGGAGAAATACGATCCTAAATGAGGGAATTTAATCAAGAGTTGAAAGCAATAATGGCTATCCAAAGTCGCCATGATTAAGCCAAAATCTCGGCAGCTCATGAATCAATTTTTCAACGTGTTTCTTCATCGTTGATAAATATTTCTCAAGGGCCACAAACAACGACAGGACTTGCCTTGCCGAATGTAACTCTTGGTACGCCCATCGACAATCTGCCGATAATAACAGAAATATCATGGATGCTGATGGAATCGAATGTAAAATTGGCAAAGATTATTCTGCAGTGCCCACTAGTGATGGCAATTCCCCCTTAGAGAGAACCCCAAGAGCCAGGGGGCAATCAGAACCGAGGGAGGAACAACTTACAAGCTCCACCAGTACCACCGGCGGCTGCCGGGGGGTATGTGATTGCAAACCCACAACGGGAATGGATTGACCTGTATGCTCTACTTCAGCGTAACAATGATTTTGATACTCTCAATGGCAGAAAATATTAGCTGTATGATCAGCATGATTATTATCTGACACAAGCAAAATTTCAGCCACCAGTATTAGATTATCGGCAAGTTCCAATAGCCGATTATTGGCAAGTGGTAAATCAGTCACAACTGATGACTTATCAACAACAAAGTTGGAAAAGCTATCGGCCTGGTACTAAAATCGGCCAGCCTTGCCGATCTCGGTAAGAAATTTTACCAAAAATTCGGCTGAAAGCAAAGCGGCTTATGTACTAAAATTCTTTGCCGATTGTGATATCTAATAATTGGCAAAAACAATTATCGGCTGAAAATATTGTTTTAATTCACTATCATCAGCCCAATTTCAAGAAAAGAAAAAAAAGACTAGCCGATGTCAATTTCAAAAGATTACTTAGAGCTCAGTTGAGAAAATTGGCTGAAAGACCAGCGGCTGCCGGGGGGCTTGTGATCGCTAACCCCCAACAAAAGTTAGTTGATCTATACGCTCTACTTCAACCTGCTGATTATAGTAAGGTCATACTTGTTGATCAATGGATTTTTGGGCATGATGCAGTCTTGCCGATGGAGTTGAATGTAAAATTGGCTGAGGCAAAATCGTTGAAGCAAAATCGGCTGAAAAACAATCGGCTGAGATGAAATCAGCTGAAATGAAATAAGCTAATAAAACTCATTCCTGGCATAATGTCATTCATCTAGTAGAGATAATAGGCAGATTGGCTAAAATGATGCTTCATAATAATTTAATTCCTGCCAATTATGATCACGATTTGCTAGCGGAGTTAGAAAATGCATGGGGGGCAAGTCCTTCATGGGTTTATGGGCAGGCGATATCGGCAAGCTTTTTGAGAATCTAGGAAGAAGCCTAAATCGACAGATTTAGCTAAATAAAGATCTTCTTAGGGGTGATTAAAAAAAAAATAAAGCTTTGGAGTTCGTTGATTTGCAATCTTATTCCAAGTGACTAGTGCATCCCTTGTTCAAAATTTACTTCCAATGTATTTCAAAATTTCAAATACTTATCGGCTTGGGTGACCGACAACTGATAAGACATTTAAAATTGGGGGCATTGTTGACACCCATTTTCATAAATTTTGTATTAATGACATGACAACCAATTTGGGGATAATGTGACACGTGGGCAAGGTAATAGTTGACGTAGTTTAAAATTGGTTGAAGCTACATGCAGAAGTGGAGGAGATAAAAGCATTTGAATTGCTGATGGATATTGATTATAGTGCTAGTAGTTATCTTTTAATTGGTTTTAATTAGATGCTAATGGTTATCTATAAGATTAGTTTATTTTGAATTTATAGTTAGTTATGATAGAGTTGTAATGCAAGTAAAGTGCTTGCGTGTAGGAGTTTGTTTTACGTATTTTTCTATAAATAATGCTAAAGGCATGCTTTGTAAGAGGTCCAGCACCCTCATAATCTTTTATTATTATTGTTACTTTCTCAAGCTCCTTCC